AAAGTAACTTCCTTGATTTTCAATACTCTACAGAGGCCCTGTGAAGCAGATGTACCTCTTGCAATGCTTTGTTTGATCTCTTGACATCTGCTTCCATGAGCATTGACTATGGATTCAAGCAAGACAAAATATTTGACAAATTCAACCTTTTTCTCTGTTTATCATGGTCCAGTGGGGAGGATTTTGGTCTTCTATACATTAAATTTCAATCCATATTGAAGGCTTCAATCCTTGATCTTCATGAGCAAGTGCTTCAGGTTGCCCTCACTTTCAGCAAGCAAGGTTGTTTGACCTGCATATTGTAGGTTGTCAATAAGCCTTCATTCAGTCCTGATGTTTAATTTTTCTTCATATAATCCAGCTTCTCTGATTAATTGGTCAGCATACAGATTGAATAAGTATGGTGAGAGGATTCAATCCCAATGTGTATCTTGGTTTTAAACCATGCAGTATTTCCTTGCTTTTTTCTCACAGTTCCCCTTGATCCATGTACAAGTCCCACAGAACACAATAAAGTGTTCTGGAATTTCAATTCTTCTCAAGTTTATCCATAGTTTATTACAATCCACACAGTCAAATGCCTTTGCAGAGTCAATAAGCATCTTAAATAAACATCTTTCTGGTATTTTCTCCTTTCAGCCAAGATCCACCAGACATAAGTAATGATATCCCTGTTCCATATCCTCTTTTGAATCTCGCCTGTACTTCTGGCAGTTATATGCATTCTTATATGTGTTTCAAGACAGACATGTTTAACTCTTCTCTGTGGTCATGATTTAGGGGTGGATGGGATGGGTTTTTTTGTTAGGTGCTATCATGTCAGTGCCCACTTATAGTGCCCCTATGTACGACAAAGCAAAACACCAGTGGATCTTGCAACATCCTCACAATAATGTCATATTGGAGGTCATTGTTGTAGCCACTGTGTCAATCCATCTTGTTGAAAGTCTTCCTCTTTTTCACAACTCTTCCACTTTACCAAACATGATTTTCTTTACCAGGGACTAGTCTCTCCTGACAACACGTCCAAAGTAGGTGAGATAAAGTCTCCCCATCCTTGCTTCTAAGGAGCATTGTAGCTGTACTTCTAAGACAGATTTGTTTGTTCTTTTGGCAGTCCATGGTACTTTCAATATTTTTAGTCATCACCATTATTCAATTGCATTGATGCTTCTTTGGTCTTCCTTATTCAGTGTTCAACTTCCAGATGCATATGAGGTGATTGAAAATACCATGTCTTGAAACAGACACACTTAATCTTTAAAATAACATCCTCACTTTTCAACACTTGAAAGAGGCCTTGTCCCACAGGTGTACTCACTGCAATGTGTTATTTGTCTCTTGACTGTTGCTTCCTTGAGCATTGA